TTGGGCGCGTTGCTGGCGCTGGGGCTGTGCGGCCTGGGCACGGAGCGCTGCCCGCCCGCCGCGTGCGAGTGCTCGGACTGGGACCGCCACAAGGTCACCTGCAAGGAGACGCGCTCCATGCCCAGCCTCCCGCGGGACACCCAGACCCTGTGAGTAGGCTGGGGCGGGAGGGGCCGGGCGGGCGGGAGGGCACTCGCGCCTCCAAGTGCCCGGGCTTGGAGAAAAGTTCGTCTCTAACCCGGACGTCGCCGTTATTCGGTGGAGAGCAGAGAGCCTCGGGCCCCGCAGCCTGCCAGGGCGTGATGCCCCGGGCTGGGAAGTGGGCAAGTCGAGCCAAAGCTCGGGGTCGAGAGGTGGTGCACCCTGGAAACGCACAGTGCTTCTTCCACAAAACCTCCCGGTGCCTACTTCCAGGCTGCCGGCTAACGTGGAGCAATAGGAAGGCATTTATGTTCTCCCATGTGCATGCTCTATTCAGACCCTGAGCCCCGGCTCCTTCTTTGGGGTTACAGGGACAACATTTCACAGCCATAACAATCAAAGCGTGCAGCGCCTGAAAAAGCAGCAAGCTTTGTGGGCTTGTGAGAGCAACAGGTAATGCGTCTCAGTTTGTCTCTGGGCACAGAGTATTTCTAACCGAAGATGGGACTTTGTTGTTGTTAATGTTCCAGTTAAATAACTTCTCAAGCTCATTCTGGTTCAGTTAATTGTTAAAGCAATTTCAAGTTGGGTTAAGTTTTAAGATTTCTCCATATTTTAACTAAAAAGTTAAAACTGTCAAGTTGGCTCAACAATGAGTGTCTCAAGAATTTTTTGAGCACCTTAAAGACATGGGGGATGAAAAAACAATTTATTTTCTGCAAATACAGCTAGAGAAATTCTTACATGCTTTCCATTGACCGTGTGTGCATCTTGTCTGTTTCTGCTTACTAGGCTGCAGTTCTGCCAGTAGTCCACTTGTTAAATAAAAGTTTCAGTTAGGTTTCAAACTAGACACCTTTGTTCTCAGAGATACTGTTTTTGAAGCTTTATGTGATGCAAATGTAACAATATTGTACAGAGATAATGCATGCTATATGCCTTTGGGATCATTATGTATACTGCTAAACTGAAAAGGAAATGATAATAAACAATTTTAACTTCTAGCAAAAATATCACCCTCTTTAGTTGGGAATTTAAACCAATTCACAGAAATATCTGAGATCCTTGACAGAAATCATAGCCACGCTTTGAAAAAGGGTGGCATGACAAATAAACACTAAATCCAAACTCCTAAAGGAAGCACTAGGTATTGTTTGGAAATCTGAAATAGTCTCAAATATGTCTCTTACGACATACTGAAGGAAATGAGAATGACTTAATGAAATGAAACAAGCAAGCCAAAATTCTAAACTCTCTTAAAATACAAAAACAAGTGTTAAACACTTTCTGATATTTAGTGTATTCTACTAACTTGTATCAAGGAGAAGGGCTTTGGAAACTTCTCAGTATAAACATGTTATTTGTTTAATCTGGTCTTCAAACGATGAGAAAAGAATTTAGCAAGTGAAAAATGTGATTTTACGACTTCGTTCTAAGTTCTGTTTTGTTTTAAAACAAATTGGGGGTAAGGAAAAAAAAAAGAAACCACTGTTTTTTTTTCCCTGTCACAAAAAATTGTCTCCATTTGCAGTTTTCCCTAGTGGGTAAGGCACATACATTTTCATGTTTATAACTGTTATCATATAGATAACCTAACTCTGTAGACAGTCACAGACAGGGTTATTAATTGAATAATTTGGGCTCTAATTGTATTACACTCCTGCTCTGTGATTTTTTTTTTGGCAAGTGTCTAAATTTTTTATTTTCTTCAATGTATAAAATGGGAATTATAACACTTATTTACATTTCAGATTTACATTCGCAGAGCATCCATAACATTTAAATATGAATTACTTGTATATTAAGGGATAATCTACAAGAAAAATAGCTTGTGCTGCCTCACAAAGGCTGTCTGTGTCTTTTATACATTGCATTTTTCTGGCTTATGAATAGAAATAGAATTTACTCTGCACTGCAGAAGCTATTTAAATTTAGTTTCAGGTGTTGTTAATTTAAAGTGAAGTGAAAGCCACTTTCCTTTTTGAAATCTATAGTGTGTGTGTGTGTGTGTGTGTGTGTGTGTGTATGTAATAGTAAAAACCCTGTAAAACTTGCCCAAGTCCAGGTATTGCATTCGTTAAAAATGCCTCTATTCTTTGCTGCTTTGCATGAATCTGTAGACTGGAGCTTTTTAAAAAATTTTTACATGGTTAGCCACTGTTGAAGAGTGTTCAAAGCTAAATGACCGTGATGAGTCGGGGAACAGACTACTCGATTTGGAAGACAGCAAGTTCTTTTTAGCATGTAGAATCTTGAAACCTTAATTGAAATTTTGTTCAGTTATTCAATCTGGACTGTTCTCATTTTTTCTCCTCTACCTTTTAAAGAGTAGTGGCATAGGTCTTCTTTTCTGCTTGTGTTTTAAACAAAGTATATAGTCTTACAAAAGTACAAAATATATTTATTTCAAAACTCAACTGGTAGAACAGCCTCATGAAATTCAGCCAGCAAAGCCTGCTTGTCTTTGAGTGCTCTTACTGTATTTATCCAAAGATGACAAGTGCAGGTGCTTTCCAAAATGGACCACTGTACAGAGGTTATGCTTGGAGTAGCATATTTTTCATATAAGGGCTTTGTTTTCAACTCTTCTGGAGTAGATAAGTAGAGTGAAACACTTTGGCTTGTTCAGTATCAGCTCATGCAGTCAAAGCTGTAGGTCTGTCTAAAGCTGAGGTTGCCCAACATCTACCATGATAAGACCGTGTTTTTAGTTGCTTTTACTTTGCCAGACTTTAACTGTCTACATTGAATTTTTCCATGCTTAGTGTCTTAAGCTAAATTCTATTAAAAACTTCAGAAGGAGGCACCCAGGTATTTCTGACCATGAGATAATGGAAGAATATGTTGTTTTGTTTTTGTTTAAAAAATGCTTGCAACCATTTCGGCTCCACTGTCTCCATACTTTGGTGAAGGGACCTGCAGTTTGACAAGGAGTGGGGGGGGGGTTATTTCTTACAGGAGGTGCTGCCCCTGTGAATACCCACTCACATTTAGCCACATTTTGTGAATTAACAGTTCACACCTGGTCAGTAGAAAATGTGTTAGTCAAGCAGCCAGATTCCCTGGAGGTCAAATGTAGAGACCATGCAGTAGTGTAACTTAGAGCAGATGAATGGGGCGCCAGCCCTGGGTGACAACTTAGTGGGGGTGCCAGAATGGTGGTATAGTGGGGAGTCCGTGCCATGGCAACAGCAGCAGCAGCTGGGACACCTTGCAGCTGCAGCAGCAATGGGAATGGGCAGACCATACCATGGCAGCAGCAGCCAGGAGCAGGAAAGACTCCTGTGCCCCCTCCGCCGCCACGCTTGGCACTGGCTCGCTTTCAACGCTCAGTGATGCACACTCTCACACTGTAGCCAAGTTTTGCCTGGGGGGAAAATCCTTTGTTACAACTCTGAGGCTATGCTCCATCTTGTGCCTGGGTATGATTTCTTGTTATTACTGCTGTATTAATGGGCATTAGAACTGTGTGGTGCTCTCAGTCTCCTCACTGTCTCCCAGGAAGCACGGAATCTAGTGAGGGAAAGTAGAGAGTATAAACTGGGACAAGGAGCTGGAGCAGAGGCATGAAACTGAGTTTGAGAGCTCACAGGGATGGGAAAGGAGACTAAGAACAAATCAGGAGTGGGGAGAAGTAGATGGGAGTAAATGAAATGGTAAGGTCATGCATTCAAGGAGCTGAATTTGGAGTGGACTAGAACTGGCTAGGCAAGGGTTCTAAGATGGGGGATGGGGAAAGACTGAGAAACCTGAGGGTAGGTATAGAATAAAATTTGTTAAAAAGTCCATGTTATGTTGGCTGAAAGCTTGGACTATGAGCTGGGCTGAGAAACTGGAACTGGAAATGGGGATGGAGGATGGACTTTGACCCCAATGGGCATCTCAAAGAGGGAGACTAGGATAGTGATGAGGAGAAAAGGATGGTGGAGAGACATAGGAGTGTGATGACGTAAGAGTCTGGAAGACAAGTTATTCCTCTTCAATACCTGTAATGCAGGATGCCCTGCCATCTGGCCTCTGGTGCTGCCCCTGGATCTGAGAGAGCCCACATGGGGGAACAGCATGTGCCAGACCTGTCCCATGGGTTGGGCCTGGGACATGTATGCATGCGGCATCCAACCTGGCTGCTGCACCATGCAAGCATGCGTGTGTGGCATGGATCCTGGAGTGGCTGGAATGGGCACTGCATGCAGCACAATCTGACCAGGGTCATGTGATGCAGATCCCAGACCAGCCAGAGTGGGTACCAAGCTGCATAACACAGCAGCTCCATTTGGAGTGGGTGCTGCGTGGTTCCCAGAGTGGGTGTCATGTGTGGTGCAGTCTGGCTGGGGCAGACAGTACATGCAGCACAGAACTTGCTTCAGCTGATTTGGGATCAGCGCTACACTCCCCCAGCCAGACTGCCCCATATGCAGTGCCCGTTTGGGCCGCTCGGGGATTTGTGGCGCACATAGCACAAGTCCCAGACCAGCTGGAGTGTGAACTAGATTTTGTATGCTGCGGGAGGTAGCTCATGGGCCTGAACCAGCCCATGGATCAGCCCCACACCACTCATCTGGCCTGTAGGGCCAAATGAGTTTGATATCTGTGCTGTCATGGGATCCAAGATTCCTGAGCTTTAAAGATTCTTTTTTGTTTGCAAAGTTCTGTGCAACTTCTTGCATAGTGTCTTACTCCTTTCTAGTAGTTGATTCCTATACCAGAAGATGACTGCTGCTACTATCCATTACATCCTCATTTCAAATGACAAATGCATGTACTGTGGGTCTAAAAAGATTACACCCTTGGGTAGCAATGTGACATCACACACTGACACTTCTGGAAGGCTTCTTGCTTTTTAAAGCCTTTTAAAGTGCATAATAATATATTAAAAGAATGTTAAAGTTACAGAGTCAAGCACTCAGAAGTTAGGAAATGGAAGAGAGATTGTTATTTGTGCAACCTTAGCTCTGCCCCCTTAAGCCTGTGAGTAATGGTAGTCTTTAATTGCATGACTATATGCTAT